ACAAATGGACTCATACGATCCCGGTATCTGTAGTGTAGCAGTTAAGTGCTCAGCTACCGTACACAGGAGACTTGAGTTCGTTTCCCGAGTAGGAAGAATTCCTATCGAGTATCTCAGTCTTTCGGGAGGGATGTCATAATAATAATTATCCCTTTCACTCTCAGCCAGGTTGCCCTTGACAACAGGCAGAGCTAGGACTACCCCCCCCCCCTTAATAATAATCTCATTTGTGTCAATGAAAGCGCAAAAAAAAAGACTCGCACTACATGCACAAATACGCACACGCAAACACACAAATTCTTTTATTTCTGTCTTTCAGCCACACCTCTGATCTTAGGGTAGGTAAGATGTAATACCTAGCCTTCTCGGATAAGGGCGAAAAATAGCAGAGGTCACCTGTGCAAGCTGCGCACGTTAAAGATCCCTTGGTGGTCCAAAAGCGATAACACTAGTAGGCTTCGCCCACGTCCCAGGCAAAATTCAAATTAATTCCAACCAACTGAAAATGTTAATAATGTGTCCCGAGCGCTTAAATGATTTATGTTGTTGCGAGCGTTGTAAAACATTTATCAAAACAAACAAAACTCATGCACAAACACACACACACACACACACACACATACACACACACAGCGCACACCAGAGCTCGCTCGCACGTGACTCACGCTAAGCAAAGTTTAAGACATAAGGAATGAAAGCAGAGATAATGTCAAAGTAAGAATCGCACATGAACTCCTAAAAGCATAGATTTTCTCGTGTTAAAACACTGTAGCTGTAACAAAAAGTTAATCCTGTGTTAACAGTCAGTTGTCTAAACATAACCTCATTACAGAAAGGTTATAAATAATAGAAGTACTATCAAAGATAGTTAATCTGGTATTTTTACGTACATTACGGAAGAACACTAGGAAGAGGGACGGGACTCATGTGGCGCCACATTTTAACCGTTTCCCTTTTTTGCGTCAATTCGGATTAAGAATAGAAATAGAAAGCAGGAATTTGTTTCGT